AGTAACAAAAACAAACAAAATAAAAGACTAAACAGCCAACCTTAGTAAGGTGCATGCCTCTTTCTCTACCTGTTGTCATTTGTGTGTGTGTGTGTGTGTGTGTGTGTGTGTGTGTGTGTGTGAGGTTTGTTTGGGTTTTGGAAGGGATACCTCGATGTACAACCTCCATAATCCTCACTGAATTAGTTAATGGTAAAATAAATCATACCAAGACTGGACCCCTAAAGTCAAAGAGAATGATTTTTTTTTTTTTTTTTTTTTTTTACTCTAAGGAGCATTTGGTTTTGACAGCAGTTTGTTCCAAGGAAATGCTCATTTAAACAGTGGAAAGTATAATGGAAGAAAAAGTGTTTCTAGATGCTGTTGGGTTTTGTTTTTAGTATAGGGCTGAGTGTTAGGACTAGTTAAATGTTTTTTCGTGTGAATGAATTTTCTCAATATTTATAATGCTGAAAACTCAGTGAGCAGGTGGTAAAATACTCTGACTCTGGGAATTATAGAAGGAATTAAAGGATGCTGCCCTTTAGAGGCAGGCACAGTTGTCCTCTGTCTTGATGAAGAACTTAGATTTTCAAATGCAGTTGGGTTTCGTATTCTATCTTAGTTATCATTCCGTGGCATCATGTTAATCTACCATAAAAATTAGAGAAAGTGTCTATTGGTCAGGAAAAAAGAGGCATAATTGCTCTACTGAGAAGATAAATCAAGTTTATGAGGGAATAAAAATATGTAGTATGTATGTGGCAAAGCTTCTTCCACGAGGGCTCTCACATTCTGTTGGAGTGTGTAGACCAGCTATAGGAAGTCACAAGAAAAAGAATTTGTTTCATACTTTTTGCATGAGGCCTAGTTTTACTAGGGCCTGACCCAAAAGTATGTGGACAGTTGAGAAGAGATGCAGATGTAATCATCAGAAAGTTAGTACCCAATGTCTAGTGAGCATTAGGTTGAACTTTTTCTCATTTAACTCTTAAATGGGGGGTAAGGAAAGTTAAAAGTAATACTAGTGGTGGGAGGGAGCCCTCTTAGTATTTATTCAAAAATTTCAGTTATGCAGGCTCAGTAAGTTAGGGAGGGCTGATGTGCAGCATGGGGGCTATACTGCTTAATAATACTGTACTACTTGAAATTGGAAATTGGAAATTTGCTAAGAGGGCACATCTCAGGTGTGCTCACCACACACACACACACACACACACACAGAAAATGGTCACAATGTGAGGTGATGAGGGGGAATCAGTTAGATTATGGTGATCGTTTCATAATGTCTTATGTACAGCAAAACATCAAGATGTACACCTCAGATATATACAGATTTTATTTTTATATTACATTGCATTAAAGCTGAAAAGAAGGGAATATGAAAACATACAAACAAAAAACAAAAAGAAAAAACTCATTGCCAAACTGAAAATTGCATAGATTTTCTTGTATGTTGTCTTCTAAACATTTCATAGTTTTGCATTTTACATTAAGGTCTATGATCCATTTTGAATACATTTTTATAAAAGGTGGAGGGAAAAAAAGGGAGATTTTAAATAAAGGACAAATCCTTAAAAAAAAAAAAAGAAAAAAATGATGGATAGTCTTTTGTAGCTCTGCGGTTTCTTTACATTAGGCTAGGGCCAGCACAACTGATCCCAAGCTCCTGTTGGATTTCCCAGGCATGACAGGATGGGCTGCTTAGGCAGCCAACTCTGCTCCATCACTTGTTTCCATAATGTGGGCAGAAGTCCAGCATAGCTAGGTTGGTTTCTTTGCAATTATTTTGTTTGTGTCATGTTGTAGGTTAAGTGACAATCTAGCACTTCAGATGGTCCCCTAGGCTCCACATTTTGGTCTCACTCTGACGAGAGTCATTACCTGGCCTTGTAACATGTATTGTTTTCGATGATACCAACTCTGGAATTTTTTAAAATTATTTTTTATTGTGGTAAAAAAACCATGTAACATAAAATTTATCATCTCAACCATTTCTAAGTATATAGTTCAGTTATGTTAAGTACATTCACAGTGTTGCATAATCAATCTCCGGAAATTTTCCAATTCACAAAACTAAAACTCTATACCCATTACATGACAACAGCCCATCCCCCCTTCTTCGAGTCCCTCATAACTACCATTCTTTCTATTTCTATGACTCTGACTCTTCTAGATAACACATACAAGTGGAATCATAAAGTATTTCTCTTTTGTGACTGACTTATTTCAATGAGCATAATGTCCTTGAGGTTCATCCATGTGGTAGCATGTGTCAGAATTTCCTTCCTTTTAAAGGCTGAATAATATTACATTGTGTGTATATGCCATATTTTATTCCATTCCTACCTCAGTGGACACTTGGGTTGCTTTCACCTCCAACTCTGTATTTCTTAGGATTCAACAGTTTGAGTGGCAATGCTGTTCTATTAATATTTCTACAACAATCTTTCCCAAGGCCTTAGTTGTCTTACTATATGAGACATCTTTTCCCCAAAAAGCACTTGACTGATGTTAAGAAAGTATCAACTTGAAATAAGGCAAGAGGATGGCTGTACGTTCTTTCACTGTCTTCCTGGTACATTTTCTAACAGGCCAAGGATTAACTGATTCTCTGAGGGAATGCACCTTATTTGACAAACTATTTACTATAGATTAAAGCTCAGACCCTTATGAAGTGACATGTTTATTGGTAGAATTTTGTTCAGTAGTGATGCAATGCAAGAAAAGAAAAGAAAAGAAGAGAAAAGCCATTTTCTACCTTATCCTGGTATAGGGCTCATGCCTACTCTTCTGACACAATCAGGCTTCTCTATAGCTTGGCAACAAAAACTTCACTGAAATGAAGGAATGTGGTAATTTACATTGGCTGTTCTGGCAGGAAAGAAATTCAAAGTGTAATTTTTTTTTTAAAGATTTTATTTATTTATTTGACAGAGAGAGACACAGCGAGAGAGAGAACACAAGCAGGGGGAGCGGCAGGCAGAGGGAGAAGCAGGCTCCCCACTGAGCAGGGAGCCCCACTCGGGTCTTGATCCCAGGACCTTGGGATCATGACCTGAGCCGAAGGCAGACGCTTAACGACTGAGCCACCCAGGCGCCCCTCAAAGTGTAATTTTTTTAAGTTATAAATATGGCTCATATATAAACATAACATGAGCCTGTGGCAGGGATTTATTTAATTCATTAATGTGAGAGCAAGCAGAATGGTGAACAGTGCAAAGAGCATTTGAGGGACTGAATATGTAATGGAACTAGAGAACACATATCCAAATAAGATTGCTAGGGGCGCCTGGGTGGCTTAGTTGGTTAAGCGTCTGCCTTTGGCTCAGGTCATGATCCCAGGGTCCTGGGATGGAGCCCCACATTGGGCTGCCTGCTTGGTGGGGAGTCTGCTTCTCCCTCTGCCTCTCCCCGGGCTTGTGTACTCTCTCTCTCTCTTCTCCTTCTGTTTTTTGTTTTTGTTTTTGTTTTTTTTTTTTGAAAACTGATCAACAATGCAATAACACATTGAGCCTGTAAGTGTGTCCAAGCATTTTAATCTAAATCGAGGGCAAGGTACATCTACATGTTGACACTTAGACTGAACTTAGAACTACTAGGCTTCTGTCCATCACAACTTAACGCTGCAGCATGAGCCAGGTGGCTGGGGAGGCCTCAAGGTGTGTTTCCTAAAAGTCGGAGTGGGAAGGCTGGCTAAGCTCACAGGTCTCAGCAAAGATAATAAAATAAATAAAAAACCAAGTTTCCATAAACTCTGCATTTCCATAGCCACCTGCAGCCAAACCTTCCTAATTTGGAGATGTGCCCCCTTTCTTGCAAAGGGTTTACTATATGGCTCTGCTTTGCATTGGCAAAGTGCAAGTGACTGTAGAAAGTAAGCCAGAGACACAATCGATCCCTTTTCCTTTCTCCCTAGCGGTGTGTGTGTGTGTGTGTGTTTGTATTATTGTACTGTACAGCCACAGAGCATGGAATTTTAAGCATTCTAGAGATCAATTTAATTGACATTTAGTGGAAAGCAAGTGGCTCATTTTAAAAGTGTATCCCCAAGGGTGCCTGGGTGGCTCAGATGGTTAAGTGTCTGCCTTCAGCTCAGGTCATGATCTCAGGGTCCTGGGATCGAATCCTGCATCGGGATTCCTGCTCCTTGGGAGCCTGCTTCTCCCTCTGCTTCTCTCTCTCTCTCTCTCTCTCTCATGAATAAATAAATAAAATCTTAAAAAAAAAAAGTGTATCCCCAAAGATCAGGTACTTACTCTCAAGGATGGAAGTGATACCTTAGTTGCCTTCCTTTTTAATATCTGATACCTAGGAGAGAGAACAGCATGAATTATTCAGGGATTTATTGAATTCTGTAAATTTTCCTTCTTCTTTTGCCCCATGTGAGAGAGAATACTGAGATAAATGGTAATTTCTAGACTAAAATCAAAGGAAAATGAGAAAAGCAAAGTATGTATTTTCAGTGAGTATTTCAAGGCTACAGTAAACTCTGTTAAAAGTCTCCCATACAGGTTAATCACTGTCACATTGCAAACTCTTCTTTGATAAAAAGAAACATTTTAAACTACTGCCTTCCTCAGTTTTCTCTATGTGTGGGAGCTCCCCCCTGTGAGATGATCTGTTTGAATTTGACTCTAAATTCTTCAGTCAGCAGTGTTCCTTTCTAAATGGAACTAAATTTGGCTAAGTGGAAAGGTTGGTGGTCTCACCCTGGGACTACAAAGATACCTCCCTGGCATTGTGACTTTTCCCTGTTTAGTCAATGGGATGACAGATGAAGAAATTTCTCTGCTGAAGTTGATGAGGCTAACGCCTATTTCCGGGAAATCTTTATCCTGGTTTTAGAATTTTATGAACCTCTGCTTTACATGCAATACTTGTGTTTAGGACCATTTCACTCTTTAAACAAAATTAGTACCCAGATTTGTTGTCGTTACTGTTGCTGTTTTTTTGTGGTGGTGGTGGTGTTTTTTTTTTGTTTTTTTTTTTTGTTTTTTAAGATTTTATTTATTTGACAGGGTGGAGCAAGATGGAGGAGGAGTAGGAGACCTGGATTTCATCTGGTTCCAAGAATTCAGCTGGATAAGGGTCAAACCACTCTGAACACCTGCAAACCCAATAGGAGATCAAAGAAAAGAATAGCAGCAACTCTCTGAACAGAAAAGCGACCATTTTCTGGAAGGTAGGACATGCGGAGAAGTGAATCCGAGGTGATATTCGGGAGGATAGGCGGCGGGGGAGGGGGCCTCCATCGGCCGCTTCTGGCAAGTGATAGAGCAGCAGAGCACAAAATTGGAACTTTTAGAAGTTGGCTCTGCTGAGGGACGTCACTCCAGTGGCTAAGCGGGGGTGGAACCCTCCGGGACAGTGTGGTCTCAGGACCCTTGGGGTCACAGAAAGACCTGGGGTACCTGAGTGAGGCAGAGCTCCCAGGTATCGGAGCAGGGAAGCCAGCTGCAGAGACGGAGCCGAGGCACGGACTCTCAGCTCGGGGTTGCCATAAACCATGATCTGTGGCACAGTTGGGCCACTGCTCCTCCTGCAGGGACCCAACAAGCGGCAGATCCGGGGAGACTCCCCTCCCTCCCCTGGGAGGAGCAGCGCGGGAACTCATGGCAGGGATCTGCTGGGTTTGGAGACTCCACACGGGGTCGGGTGCCAGAGATAGAAGCGCTCGGTCACAGGCCGGGTGAGCACGGAGTGCTGCCGGAGACTTGGGAGACAGGAGTGATTGACTGCTTTTCTCTGGGGGCGCACTAAGGAGCGAAGCCCGAGTTCTTGGCTCCTTTGGGGCAGAGATTAGGAGGCCGCCATTTTCACTCTCGGCCTCCAAAGCTGTACGGAAAGCTCGCAGGGAACAAAAGCTCCAGAGAGCAAACCCGAGCAGATTACTTAGCCCGGACTGGGCAAGGGTGGGGCAATTCTGCCGCCCGCAAAGACATTTGGGAACCACAGCAACAGGCCCCTCCCCCAGAAGATCAGCGAGAACAGCCAGCCAAGACCAAGTTTACCGATCAATGAAAACGGCAGAACTCCAGGGCTAGGGGAATACTGCACATAGAATTCATGGCTTTTTTACCATGATTCTTTAGTCTTTCAAAGTTAATTTTTTTAACTGTCTTTTCTTTTCTTTTTTGAATTTTTCTTTTTCCCTTTATCAACCAACATGTTATCAATCCCTTTTTTAAAAAAATATTTTTTATTTTTCATTTTTAGAGCCATATTCTATCCCTTCATAGTAGTTAACCTTATTTTTGATATATATATATAAGTTGTTCTCTCGTTAAAATTTTGAGATACAGTTTCTTCTAACAGATCAAAATATACCCTAAATCTCTAGTGTATGGCTTTGTTCTAGTCTCCTGCCTGATCACATTCTCTCTTTTTTTTTTAAATCCTCTTCTTTCTTTTTCAACCAACTTCTTATCAATTCCTTTTATAAAATCTTTTATAATTTTCATCTTTACAGTCATATTCCATCCCTTCATCGTATTAACCCTTATTTTTGTACATGTATAAGTTTTTCTTTCTTTAAAATTTTGGGAGGCACTTTCTTCTAACAGACCAAAATACGCCCAAAATCTAGTGTGTGGCACTGATCTATGCGCCAGCCTGATCATATTTGATCATATTCTGTTTTTTTTGTTTTGTTTTTTGTTTGTTTTTATCTTTTCTTTTTCTTTTTTCTTTCTTTCCCTTTCTTTTCCCCTAGTTTCAGGTCTTTTCTGATTTGTTTAGTGTATATTTTCTGGGGACGTTGTTACCCTGTTAGCAGTTTGTTCTCTCATTCATCTATTCTCCTCTGGACAAAATGACAAGATGGAAAAAATCACCTCAACAAAAAGAACAAGAGGCAGTGCTGACTGCCAGGGACCTAATCAATACGGACATTAGTACGATGTCAGAACTAGAGTTCAGAATAATGATTTTAAAGATACTAGCAGGGCTTGAAAAAAAACATGGAAGTTATTAGTGAATCCCTTTCTGGAGAAATAAAAGAACTAAAATCTAATCAAGTCGAAATCAAAAAGGCTATTAATGAGGTGCAATAAAAAATGGAGGCTCTAACTGCTAGGATAAATGAGGCAGAAGAGAGAATTAATGATATAGAAGACCAAATGATGGAAAATAAAGAAGCTGAGAAAAAGAGATAAACAACTACTGGATCACGAGGGCAGAATTTGAGTGATAAGTGATACCATAAGACGAAACAACATTAGAATAATTGGGATCCCAGAAGAAGAAAGAGAGAGAGGGACAGAAGGTATATTGGAGCAAATTATAGCAGAGAACTTCCCTAATTTGGGGAAGGAAACAGGCATCAAAATCCAGGAGGCACAGAGAACCCCCCTCAAAATCAATAAAAATAGGTCAACACCCCGACATCTAATAGTAAAACTTACGAGTCTCAGAGACAAAGAGAAAATCCTGAAAGCAGCTTGGGAGAAGAGATACGTAACCTACAATGGTAGAAACATTAGATTGGTAGCAGACCTATCCACAGAGATCTGGCAGGCCAGAAAGGACTGGCAGGATATATTCAGAGCACTAAATGGGAAAAATATGTAGCCAAGAATACTATATCCAGCTAGGCTGTCATTGAAAATAGAAGGAGAGATAAAAAGCTTCCAGGACAAACAAAAACTAAAGGAATTTGCAAACACGAAACCAGCCCTACAAGAAATATTGAAACGGGTCCTCTAAGCAAAGAGAGAGCCTAAAAGCAACATAGACCAGAAAGGAACACAGACAATATACAGTAACAGTCACCTTACAGGCAATACAGTGGCATTAAATTCATATCTTTCAATAGTTACCCTGAATGTAAATGGGCTAAATGCCCTAATCAAAAGACACAGGCTATCAGTTTGGATAAAAAAACAAGACCCATCGATATGCTGTCTGCAAGAGACTCATTTTAGACCCAAAGACACCCCCAGATTGAAAGTGAAGGGGTGGAAAACCATTTACCATGCTAATGGACACCAAAAGAAAGCTGAGGTGGCAATCCTTATATCAGACAAATTAGATTTTAAACCAAAGACTGTAATAAGAGATGAGGATGGACACTATATCCTACTTAAAGGGTCTATCCAACAAGAAGATCTAACAACTATAAATATCTATGCCCTAACATGGGAGCAGCCACTTATATAAGGCAGTTAATAACAAAAACAAAGAAACACATCGACAACAATACAATAATAGTGGGGGACTTTAACAACCCCCCTCACTGAAATGGACAGATCATCTAAGCAAAAGATCAACAAGGAAATAAAGACCTTAAATGACACACTGAACCAAATGGACTTCACAGATATATTCAGAACATTCCAACCCAAAGCAACAGAATACACATTCTTGTCTAGTGCCCATGGAACATTCTCCAGAATAGATCACATCCTAGGTCACAAATCAGGTCTCAACTAGTACCAAAAGATTGGGATCATTCCCTGAATATTTTCAGACCACAATGCTTTGAAACTAGAACTCAGTCACAAGAGAAAAGTCGGAAAGAACTCAAATATATGGAGGCTAAAGAGCATCCTACTAAAGAATGAATGGGTCAACCAGGAAATTAAAGAAGAATTAAAAAAATTCATGGAAACCAATGAAAATGAAAACACAACTGTTCAAAATCTTTGGGATGCAGCAAAGGTGGTCCTAAGAGGACAGTATATAGCAATACAAGCCTTTCTCAAGAAACAAGAAAGGTCTCAAGTACACAACCTAACCCTACACCTAAAGGAGCTGGAGAAAGAACAGCAAATAAAGCCTAAACCCAGCAGGAGAAGAGAAATAATGAAGATTAGAGCAGAAATCAATGAAATAGAAACCAAAAGAATAATAGACCAGATCAACGAAACTAGGAGCTGGTTCTTTGAAAGAATTAATAAGATTGATAAACCCCTGGCTAGACTCATCAAAAAGAAAAGAGAAATGACCCAAATCAACAAAATCATGAATGAAAGAGGACAGATCACAACTGACACCAAAGAAATACAAACAATTATAAGAACATATTATGAGCAACTCTATGCCAGCAAATTAGATAATCTTGAAGAAATGGATGCATTCCTAGAGATGTATCAACTACCAAAACTGAACCAGGAAGAAATAGAAAACCTGAACAGACCTATAACCACTAAGGAAATTGAAGCAGTCATCAAAAATCTCCCAACAGACAAGAGCCCAGGGCCAGATGGATTCCCATGGGAATTCTACCAAACATTTCAAGAAGAATTAATACCTATTCTTCTGAAACTGTTCCAAAAAATAGAAACGGAAGGAAAACTTCCAAACTCGTTTTATGAGGCCACCATTACCTTGATCCCAAAACCAGACAAAAAGACCCCATCAAATAGGAGAATTACAGACCAATATCCTTGATGAACATGGATGCAAAAATTCTCACCAAAATACTAGCCAATAGGATCCAACAGTACATTAAAAGGATTATTCACCACGACCAAGTGGGATTTATCCCTGAGCTGCAAGGTTGGTTCAACATCTGCAAATCAATCAATGTGATACAATACATTAATAAAAAAAGGAGCAAGAACCATATGATCCTCTCAATAGATGCAGAAAAAGCATTTGACAAAGTACAGCATCCTTTCTTGATCAAAACTCTCAGAGTGTAGGGAAAGAGGATACATACCTCAGTATCATAAAAGCCTTCTATGAAAAACCCACAGCGAATATCATTCTCAATGGGGAAAAACTGAGAGCTTTCCACCTTAGGTCAGGAACGCGGCAGGGATGTCCACTCTCACCACTGCTATTCAACATAGTATTAGAAGTCCTAGCCACAGCAATCAGACAACAAAAAGAAATCAAAGGCATCCAAATCGGCAAAGAAGAAGTCAAACTCTCACTCTTTGCAGATGATATGATACTTTTTGTGGAAAACCCAAAAGACTCCACGCCAAAACTGCTAGAACTCACACAGGAATTCAGTAAAGTGGCAGGATATAAAATCAATGCACAAAAATCAGTGGCATTCCTATACACCAACAAGAAGACAGAAGAAAGAGAAATTAAGGAGTCAATCCCATTTACAATTGCACCCAAAACCATAAGATATGTGGGAATAAATCTAACCAAAGAGGCGAAGGATCTGTACTCAGAAAACTATAGAATACTCATGAAAGAAATTGAGGAAGACACAAAGAAATGGAAAAATGTTCCATGCTCATGGATTGGAAGAACAAATATTGTGAAGATGTCAATGCTACCTAGAGCAATCTACACATTCAGTGCAATCCCCATCAAAATACCATCCACTTTTTTCAAAGAAATGGAACAAATAATCTTAAAATTTTTATGGAACCAGAAAAGACCCCGAATAGCCAAAGGAATGTTGAAAAAGAAAAGCAAAGCTGGTGGCATCACAATTCCGGACTTCCAGCTCTATTACAAAGCTGTCATCATCAAGATAGTATGGTACTGGCACAAAAACAGACACATAGATCAATGGAACAGAATAGAGAGCCCAGAAATGGACCCTCAACTCTATGGTCAACTCATCTTCGACAAAGCAGGAAAGAATGTCCAATGGAAAAAAGACAGTCTCTTCAACAAATGGTGCTGGGAAAATTGGACAGCCACATGCAGAAGAATGAAATTGGACCATTTCCTTACACCACACACAAAAATAGACTCCAAATGGTTGAAAGACCTAAATGTGAGACAGGAGTCCATCAAAATCCTAAAGGAGAACACAGGCAGCAACCTCTTCAACCTCAGCCGCAGCAACTTCTTCCTAGAAACATTACCAAAGGCAAGGGAAGCAAGGGCAAAAATGAACTATTGGGACCTCATCAAGATAAAAAGCTTTTGTACAGCAAAAGAAACAGTCAACAAAACCAAAAAACAACCAACACAATGGGAGAAGATATTTGTGAATGACATATCAGATAAAGGGCTAGTATCCAAAATCTATAAAGAACTTCTTAAACTCAACACCCAAAGAACAAATGATCCAATCAAGAAATGGGCAGAAGACATGAACAGACATTTTTCCAAAGAAGACATCCAAATGGCCAACAGACACATGAAAAAGTGTTCAGTATCACTCGGCATCAGGGAAATCCAAATCAAAAAGTCAATGAGATACCACCTCACACCAATCAGAATGGCTAAAATTAACAAGTCAGGAAATGACAGATGTTGGCAGGGATGCGGAGAAAGAGGAACCCTCCTACACTGTTGGTGGGGAAAGCAAGCTGGTGCAGCCACTCTGGAAAACGGTGTGGAGGTTCTTCAAAAAGTTGAAAATAGCTACCATAAGATCCAGCAATTGCACCCTCTGTGTTTACCCCAAAGATACAAATGTAGGGATCCGAAGGGGTACGTGCACCCCGATGTTTATAGCAGCAATGTCCACAATAGCCAACTGTGGAAAGAGCCAACATATCCATCGAAAGATGAATGGATAAAGACGATGTGGTATATTATACAATGGAACATTATGCAGCCATCAAAAGGAATAAAATCTTGCCCTTTGCAATGACGTCATGGAACTGGAGAGTGTTATGCTGAGCGAAATAAGTCAATCAGAGAAAGACATGTATCATATGACCTCACTGATATGAGGAATTCTTAATCTCAGGAAACAAACTGAGCATTGCTTGATTGGTGGGGGTTGGGAGGGATGGGGTGGCTGGGTGATAGACACTGAGGAGGGTATGTGCTATGGTGAGCACTGTGAATTGTGTAAGACTGATGAATCACAGATCTGTACCTCTGAAACAAATAATACATTATATGTTAAAAAAGAAGAAGAAGAAGAAGATAGCAGGAGGGGAAGAATGAAGGGGGGGAAATCGGAGGGGGAGATGAACCATGAGAGACTATGGACTATGAGAAACAAACTGAGGGTTCTAGAGGGGAGGGGGGTGGGAGGATGGGTTAGTCTGGTGATGGGTATTAAAGAGGGCACATTCTGCATGGTGCACTGGGTGTTATACGCAAATAATGAATCATGGAACACTACATCAAAAACTAACAATGTAATGTATGGTGATTAACATAACATAAAAAAAGAGAAAAAAAAGATTTATTTGAGAAAGAGAGAGAGAGAGAACATGAGTGGGGCGGGGTACAGAGGCAGAGGCAGAGGCAGTCCCCCTGTTGAGCAAGGAGCCTGAAGCAGGACTCGATCCCAGGACCCTGGGATCATGACCTGAGCCGAAGGCAGTCAGCCACTTAACCGACTGAGCCACCCAGGCGCCCCGGTGGTGGTGTTTTGAATTCTTAGTTTCATATCATAATATTTCAGGAATAACCACAAGTGATTCTGTAATCCTTCCAGATGCTTTATTTTAAACCTGAAGAAACCATGGTCAGTATCAATAAATGTTTATTGAGCATCAGCTGGGTAGGAGCCCTGTCCCTGGCACTTTAACAAGTCTGTTCCAAGTGGTCTGGATTTCCAAGATGTTCCATTCCCTGGTTTGGAAGTCAGATATTTCCCCAAAGATGTCTTCATTGTTTCTTAAGTTTTAAAGTTAAATTCCCGATTTTTAAAGACATTATCTGTAAGACAGGAGAGCTTAGTGTTTTCATTTCTAAAGTGCTTCCTATGAGCTAGAAACTGTGGTGAGTCAAGTGTTCTACATGCGTTTCCTAATTTTAATCCCCACACCAACCAACTGAGTTGGGAGATGACTCTTACGATCCCCACTTTAGAGATGGGAACACTGAGGCTTAGTGAGAACATGCCATTTGTTCCAGGTTGCATAGCAAGCACAGAAACAAATTTAGTCCAGTTCTGTCTGATTCCACAGCCTCCCTGCTATATGACATCATTTGTTTTTTTGATAGACGTTTGTAAATTCTCAGTCAGTGCCATGATATTTCAGAACTTATGTGTCATTGGGTTACACATTTTAAACCTTAGAAAACCAGGTCTGCGTCGGCAAACGTTTCCCAAGTGCTTCACATTTCACGTGTCTTTTTTGCATGGTCTGGATTTCCACGTTATTTCATTAACTGATGACTTTGGTCAGACATGTTTCTGAAAGAGACTTTAATAGTGAAACTTATTTTAAATTCCCAACTATCCAGGATATTTTGTTTAAAGATGGGAACAGCCGACAGTTTTAATTCCTTACGTGTTGAAAGGTTGTGGAAAAGAGAAACCCCAACCCAGCTTGCTAACAAATGGCTTAGTGAATGAATCAGCAGGATTGTGCTCTCTATGGTTCTTTCTGGATGTTTTCTCTGGGTCCCCACAATCTGGGTATAGTGTGATGAGTTGTTCTGCTGAGAAACCAGCGTTGACAGAATAAACAGGGTTGACAGAATAAACAGAGTAAACCCTGAGTGTGGGGGGAGGTTTGCAATCAGCCTCCTTTTGCTGCCTTGACTCACATGCCTGGCCCTTTGGGAATGCGCCCAAAGCTTTCCCTTTATGAACTGGTGGAAATGGCTTAACTTAGCCAATTTGTCTGATTTCTCACTGACTAGAGCAGCAGACCTGGGGGAGCCTAGAAAGCTGGGCATTGTGCAGTGAACAAACGTGCACATGTCCATGCTGCAGAAAGAGAGGAAGAGAGGGTCACACAGCACAGTGCCTGTCCACACACACACACACACACACACACACACACACACACACAATTAGTTAACAGAGAAGAAATGGATTTACAGAGAAGAAATGGATTTATTGTTGTTGATCATTATGGTTGACACCTCAAATTAAATGGAACATTTGTCTAAAAAATTTCCATTTTATATTTGTCAAGTGATCTCCTCTGAGGAGCTTTAAAGGCACACGCCACTCCACAAGAACTGAATGATTCATTATTAAATGAACAAGTTGGGGTGAGGATGCACAAGAAAGAGAAACTGAAGAGGAGGTTGAAAAAAGTGCTTTAAAAGCAAATGGAAGGAAGGGAAAAATGAAGGGGGTGGAAATCGGAGGGGGAGACGAACCATGAGAGACTATGGACTCTGAGAAACAAAATGAGGGTTCTAGAGAGGACGGGGTGGGGGGATGGGTTAGCCCAGTGATGGGTATTAAGGAGCGCACATTCTGCGTGGAGCACTGGGTGTTATACGCAAACAATGAATCATGGAACACTACATCAAAAACTAATGATGTACTGTATGGTGACTAACATAACATAATAAAATTAAATTAAAAAAAAAAACTGGAAGAACAGACCTTGTGTGCCAACGGCAGGGTCCCTTAGCAGTAGGCAGAGCAAGGGTAAGAGCTGAGTCTATAACAGCGCTCCCTGTTGGGACACCCGAGGGATCGGAGCGAGTTTCCTTGCCCAGAGGAGCTGTTATCTGGGAGTGAGTTCTTAAGCCTTAAGAGCCCTTGTCAGTGTGTAGCCCTGTGCTCTGGGCCCATTCCAGGTGATTCAAGGGAATTATAGAAGTTTCATCATTTGCATAGCACCATAGCTGCATTTGGGAGCCTGGGTGGTGATTGATGTCCCAGAAGTGGCCCGAGGGAGAGCAGAGAGCTGATGGTCGGTGACGGGGATGCATGTGTCTCCCAGGCAGCTTTGCAGATCACCCACGGTGACACAAGCCCCCAACCATGGGCCACCAGTGTGCACTTGTAACATGAGTTCAGACATACATGATGACCCCCAGGACAGCTGCGGCTTGAGTTAATAGCACATAATTCAGCCCCTCCGTGAGGCTTTCCTAGAAATCCAGCAATGAACTCCACATGGATTCAGTCCAGGAATTCCCTTCTGATCTGAGAGCAGAAGTGCATCGTTTGGCATTTATTCATGTGCAGCCATTGGCTAAAGCCTCAGTCACTGGTGTCTCCATTTTTCTTTTTCTTCCTGTCCCACGTATTCTCAAGGTTCTTCTTAGAGGCTGTTTGTGAGACATAGTAGGGATCTCCCCCCACATTTAGGATTCTTAGCAGTAGGACTTTCCCTTGTGGGGTATGGAAGAGAATCCTGATTTCTAGTCACCGAGTAACAGAGGTAGAGCTGAGACACAACGAAACTTGAAAGTCAAGGTTTTGGGGAAAAGGATGAGATACTGAGTTGGGAACTGGCTGACTCAGGGTCTTTTTTCCTTTTTAGGTGTATGCATTCTTTTGATCGCATCTCCCAAACAAGCAGGAGGCTTTCCAGGTGACATTTATCTTCTTGGCACTGACATCCAGAATATAGAGCACGATGCTACGAACCGGAGCCCCTGGACCGAAGAAGGCCTTCTCTTGTACTAAGTGTACGGAAACGGAGAGGAGCAACATAGGAGGGAGCTGCCCTTTGCATCTTTTAAAGGTAGTCTCATAATTTTTTCCCTACATTCTTTTTCCCTTAATAATGGGCTTCGCTCTTGAAGCTGAAGCCTCCCTGTTCCACTTGAAGTCAGTATTTCCTTCTGCCTTTATGATAGCCTTAGAGAAGTTCTCCTGCTGGACAGAGATGGATTTCACATTAGGAAAAGAGCACTCCAGAACACCATAGAATGGCCAGGGCTCTATTTATTTACTTTAGAGGTGGTGGCAGCTGAGGAAGAAGGTTCAAAAGATACAAAGTTATGTATGAATTATGATGTGATATGTTCGGCTTTTAGCTCACCACTGGGCAGACCTTCAAAGTTAGTTTTCAATGGGCTTCTCTCAGGGGGCCACACCATCCTTTTCCAAATGTGAGCTTGAGGATGCTTCCCATCTTACATCACTCACAAGTAACTGCCAGAGGAACAAGAAACAAAAACTATACAATTTACAGTTCCCTCTCTTTGATGTAAGGTGGGATGGGGGTTGCAAAGCAAGGGCTTCTGAGTAGAATGAAGTAGGATTGCCACAGAAAGCAAACTCTTATTTCCTTGAGAAGAGAGCAAGCAGCATTAGCAAATTAAAAATATTAGAAAGCCTTTACTCAGATTCAGTTGAGCTTGATTTTTGGGTCAAGTTGGGGGAGGGGAAGAGGAAAGAAGCCCAACAGCCTGTGCCAAGGATTTGCTGAACATGTTTTAAAAAAAAATGCTGACGGGTATTAAATTAAGTAACAACTGAAGATTACACAAGAGTAAACATTGCTGCTAATGTTTGACTAAAAGCTAACTGAGGGCTCTAAGTGACTCCAGTTAATTTACACATCATGCCAATAACAGCCCCAGGGGACTGGGGACTGCTAAAGGTGGGGGAGACTTTTATAGCCAGAAGCCACGTTTTTAAATTTAGAAAAAGAAAACTAGAGCTGAAGGAACGAACTGCTTTAGAAACTTCAGGGAAGGAGAGACGGAAAAAGAGAGAAAGGGGAATTGTGTGTCTGTCCCTGCTGGGCTTTGTTTTTTTTTTTTTTTTTTTTTTTTAAAGGGGACGTGTAACTTTTAAATAACTCTTCTATGAGGAGGGAGTGTGCTAGGATCAAAGAGTTAACTGTTCCTGTGGCACAAGAGTCTTAATAAATTCTAGACTGTGCCAAGAGTTCCATCCATCCCAAATGAAAGAGTGTAAATCCCCCCGTGAGATCAAATAAAATTGATTTAACTTTGCAACATTTAGCTTCAAGTTAAAGTGTACAGCAAATGATGTTAAAATTATAGTCCCTGCTCAGCACAACCTCTTTTGATACACTTTTAGATGGTTTTAAAATGGGATGTGTCGTTTATTTAGTAACATAACAGTTGATATACTTAGATTGGAGTTTCATCATGTACTTTAATTTTCTGGGGCACTGGGGATGACCATAATTGCCAAACAATTCAATGGAATGGAATGGGCTAACTCAGCACTTTTTATAACATTTTTCTGCATAATATCTAAAATCTTTCTCACTGCAGTATGTTTACGAACGTAAGTCATTTAACCCTCATATTTCCTGGGCTCAAATAATTCTCTTAATCAGGCATAAAACGTTTGCAAATTTGCCCTCTTTACATTAGCATGTCATTGTGAAGGAGATAGCTCAGTTGAGAGTGTCAGGAATCAGGTCCTGTTGTCTGGTGCTTGACAACCTTCAGTGGATACTCAAGGAAATCCAGTCTCTCCCAAGAGCCTCTTTCTTCTCACGTTTTTGTCTTCTCTCAGGCAAAGGCAAAAATATCTGCTGGCTAGGCCAGTCTTGAGTTTAATCTTGGAGTCTCAAAAATAAACAGTGGTAAGGTCTGGATAACATTCATTGATAGACATTTCTGTGTTTGCCCAGATGAAACTTTAAAAATGCTAAAAGCCACCAAAATCTCTGCTCTTTCCCTTAATTGTCCTGGATTATCAGGCTGCAGAAATGGAATGGGTGGGTATGTTCCAGTGCTATTAAATCTTGTGCAAACTTTACTGATATCAGCCTTTTGACTCTGGCAGCCCATTCTGCTTTTCAGCATTCTCCCGGGACCCTCGCAGTGTGCCAGAAACCAAGCACCTTGTCTGCAGGGGCAGCCTTGATGCTAGAGAAGCTAGAAGGGGGAAAAAAAAAAATCATGCTGTCTCATCCTTTCCACACTGTCCGTTGACTCACTTTATGACTTTTCTTGCCAGATCCAAAACCTGATGGCCAACCTAAGGTCACCAGCCCCATGGAGCTATTTAAAAAAATTGAAATCACTTGGCATTTTCAGTTCTTGCCATTTGTGAGTTTGCTCAAATATTCTGATGAGCAATTCTCAAAAATATATTGCCTCCAAAGATGAAGGTGCGCCAAACCACAGCAAAACTGAAAGTGGCACTTCAGAGAGACTGGAATTAGTAGACGTTGGTTTGGTACCTCATATTCTCCAGACCTGATGTTAAAAACAAAGATGAGGCTTCCCCATGTGTACTGGATCGGTTTGTTAAGCAGACTTAAGGAATGTCTAAAGGCGATTGGCCTTTCATGTATGGGGATGTTTTGAAATTTGAACAACTCACTGTAAGTCATAAAAAGTTTGACTTGAATCAACGATTACAGATATTGTTACACTGTACGAACAAACAGCCTGATTATGTGGATGTGGCATTTCCTGTCCTTTGTCTTCAATAGAAAATACGATGTCAGGTTACAGTTATCTGGCTCTTTTGCTCCTCCACTTTGACCGCCAAAGAGTAATTTATGTAATTTCTCAAAACTCGAAATCACAAAGTTGGGGAGTGGTGCATGGTAGTATAATAACGAGAACAGCCGAAATCTATTGTGAATCTAGCTATGTGCACTGCTCTGAGCAACAATCTCATGAGCCAGCATTACTATTCTCCCACTGCAAAGTTTAGGAAGTGAGGCCCAGGGAGGTAAGCCAGGGGTCCACAGTCATCCAGAAGTTGATGGAGGAGGCTGGATTTAGCCACAGCTGTCTTCATCTAGTCTTGAGCTCTCCAAGGCGGGGGGGAGGAGGGGGGAGGTGGGGAGTGGAAGAAGTCATCACTGCATTCCCAGGCATCCACGTGCACATGCTTTCCATTTTAGTTCCACTGGAGCCCATCATCTAACCCATCCTGGCATGTCCAACACTACACACTAGAGTTGGCGGGGAGAGAGACTGGATTTCTTTTTTTTAAGATTTTATTTATTTATTTGACAGAGAGACAGTGAGAGAGGGAACAGAAGCAGGGGGAGTGGGAGAGGGAGAAGCAGGCCTCCCGTGGAGCAGGGAGCCCGATTCGAGACTCGATCCCAGGACCCCGGGATCATGACCTGAACCGAAGGCAGACGCTTAACGACTGAGCCACCCAGGCGCCCGAGACTGGATTTCCTGAAGCCACATCAAACTCCATTCTCCATGATGCCTAAAAAAAAAAATCCATCTCTTTCCATCTCTTCCCACAATTTAGAACACACTTTTCTTTAAAGATTTTATGTATTTATTTGTGGAGAGAGAGAGCACGTGTGAGCAGGGGAAGGGCAGAGGGAGAGAATCTCAAGCAGATTCCATGTGGAGCACGAAGCCCGATGCAGGGCTCAATCTCATGGTCCTGACATCATGACCTGAGCCAAAATCAAGGGTTGGATGCTTAACCGACTAAGCCACCCAGACACCCCCACACGTCAATTTTTAGAGTAGATTATTTTATCCAAAAAGACTAATAGCTACACGGAGCTTACTACACATCAGAAAACATCCAAAGTACTTTACATTTATTATTCATTTTATTCTCACAACTGTGTGAAGTGGATAATACTTTTATCGCCATTTTACATTTGAGTAAACTGAAGCACAGATAGGTCATGTCAATTGCTTAAAGTTGCCAAGTTAGGGGGATGCAGAGATAGACCCACACCCAAGCAGCAGCCTGGTCCCATGTCCATGGTCTTAACACTACTCTCTGTCTCCAATGAGTGGAGGGCTAGCAATGAGATTCAGGCTTCAGGCAAATAATTTGGGCTGAGTTCTATCACAGCTGATTGTGGAATTGGCCATTTCATCACTTATGAGAGCAGCACGGCCTGAGTTCCCACCCCTTACAGTAGCACGTTCCAGGACAAACACCAGGGGAGGATCCATAGGGGCCTGAGTTATTCTCCCAGCAGCTGAGACTGGGTAATTTCTAACTCTTACTTTTCTTCTCTAGGCCTTGGTTCTCCTGCCTCAGAACAAAGGCCTGACAACAATGGCCTCCTTTATTTGTGGTGTTTTTTCCAGTTTACAAAGCAATCTCTCACACATTTCCTCATGTGATATGAGCCTCACCGAAGTTCTACAAGGTGTGATTGTGCACGAAAGATCTTTAGGAAGCTTGAAGCTAAAAGGACATAAAACCTGGCTTTTTGATTCTAAGCCAAAACGTCTTTAAACCATATCCCTAATTCTTTCTGCAGTAGAAATAACCCCTAAGAGCAAGTTTCCCCATCATGCGGCAGTTTCCATGGTGGATGGTGACCCTTTTCATAAAACCCTATCCTTGTTCCTTACTCCAGGTCGCTGTGCTGGGGTGAGGCTGGCCACGGGAAATGGCTGAAGACCACGCATGTGTTCACACTATATTTTGTGCTTGATTCCACTTGTCATGGTAGCCATCTTCTAGCAGTAGATGAGGTTATCAGAGCTAGTTATGCTTAAGACCACAGGTTGGAGCTGGAGCCCCAAGGCCAGGCAGCAAGGACAACCAACCATACAGAGAAGTGTGCTTAAAATAAGTTGGGCTTTGGTTTCCACCCTCATGATTGTAGAGAAGTATTGCTTCTTCTTAAAGAAAAGAAATGAATAAGACCCGTTGATATTGAGTGGGGGCAGGTCTCACATACTCCCCTTCCTCTTCCACGCCCTTGGGTGTGGGATGTTGGCACGCAGAGGGTTAGGTGGATGGCTGACTTATTCGGTGCCATTTGCAGTCCGCAAGGACCTAGCTTAGCTAGAGGCTGGG